TGGTGGTTTTAGTGGAAAAGGTAAAATTATAAGTCATTTAACATGGAATTAGATGTTGTCACTATTGCCAATTTTGTAAAATGAAACGTCAGACTTAAAGAAAGAGCTATGGCAAAAGATTTAAAAACAACGTTCACGTTAAAGACAAGCGCCATAAGAAATTTCACTAAACCACGGCGTGCCATATGTGTTGTCATAAAGACTAGCCCTGTACGTTACAAAGAAGGTACAAAGAGAAAGATAAATTAAGAGATAATCGTACAAACTTATCAAGATCGTCGTAATAACAAGACAGGAAGACATCGGCTCGATATGTGAACTACAGCGTATAAAGCACATCTTCAAGCTTAAAAAATTAATACATTCCACTACTACTATGCCTCTTAAAACCAACAAAGAGGGGAAGGGAAAGAGAGTTTAAAGGCATGAATAATAATATGAGGAAAAATGCGCGAATACTGTGTAAATAACCCACGAGAATCCTTAAGTACGAATTCTCGGCGAATAGGGAGGACGCAAGTGTAACTTGCCCCCCTCACAAGGATTTTGCAAAGAGTTCGCAAGTGAGGCGAGCGATTTTAAAGGCACCGTGAAAAAAAAATGAACTAAGACGCTCGTCTCGAGCAGTGAAGAGAAAAAAAGTGTATGGAAAATCTATACGCTTTTATCCAGAGCCCGTGGCAAATGCAATCTAGGCTCAACAATTTGCCACTGCATAAATGTTCTCTTTTTCCATCAGCGTATTTTTAAAATTTATAACTAAGCATACCGACCCTCACCTTTTATATTATAAAGTTTGTTTGTAGCCCTCCGTATCGTAGGTCTACCCTGGCCTTGTAGCGATGCGTGCAAATTAAAGGTGAACAAAATATAAACTATCGCGCCACTGCCAGGCGGTAGAGTTCTAATATCACGTGGTTTGCTTCAACACAATAAATGTAATACATTGGTCAATATGACCTAGATAGGACAAAGAGATTTTTAATAAATCGGCTCGATATGTGAACTACAGCGTATAAACCTTTACATACTCCGATCCTAACCCCGTACGCTTTTTCGGGCACAAAAGGTGGACAACGCACGGTCTACCGGACTTCAATAGTGTATATACGCCAGATTAATTGGGAGTTAACGATGTTTACCTGTGGGCGAACGAGCGACTAACTTGTAATTTAAACAATATAAAAACAAATTGCTACATGCATTAAGGCCAGCTTGTAACTTAATGCACGGATATGAAAATAACTGGCCGTCATTTGATTGAATTTTATTGAGTTTTCTCATTCCCAGACAACTATCATCAATTTATTGGGATTAACATTATACATGTAGCATATATCTGTGCTGGTTTCCACTCCTCATATTATTATTATTATTATTATTATTATTATTATTTTATTTTTATTTTTTATTTATTTATTTTACTTTTTTTTTTTGATTTTGTATTTTTTCTCAATAACTTCTATTTCTATTCCTCTTTTTTCTTTAATTAAACGGAATAAACATGTTCTTTTGGATGTATTTTTTGGTGATAGTATGTTCAGGTGAGATGCCTACATCCTGTTACGAATGTGTTTGGCGTCTGCCCTTTATACTTGCTCTTTCTTCTCTCTGCCCCTCCTAATTAAAACGTTACGGAGCACAACACAGTACTTATTGCATAGTCACATGCCTCTGCCCCAACCAAAATACTAGTAAGCAGTACTCTCTATCTAACCGTATATTATAAGGCTTGCTTTCAAACTTCACTCTACTTCTGCGCCGTGCATCAGTAGAGTGGGTTTTATAACGCTTGTACATTTGGTCGAGAAACAAGTTTTGTTTCGTTCAACGTTAAGGTAACTTCTTCGACTTAACTTCCTGATAACATTTTGATTTCCTTTTTCTTATACGCTATCTAGGTATTTCGTTCAGGTTTTAGCATTATCTCCGTATTATTTTTGTTACTTTAGGCCATATTCTTTGCACTTTTTGTGTTTGCACCCAGTTTTCATGTTTTCAAGTTTACGTTATACTTGTGATTCTGTTACTTATTTCATTTTACTTTTCTTTCAGTCTTTACGTTTGGTTTGGGAATGAAGACCAAAAGAACAAAATCAGTCAGTCTTCAGATTATTCTCGACTAAGTGCAGTTATACTTGCTTATGTATTTCATGACATCTGTTGTAAAAATAATGCAACTTAAAACATTCCCATAAAAATTAAAATAAAAAGATTAAAATAAAAATAATTAAATTAAATTAACAGCTCAGCACGCAAGAATGAATGATATTCAACCTTGCCGTAGTGTACAGGTCACAGATCATAACTTGGTTTTTCTAACAGTTAATATGTTTCCATCTGTCTTCCTCCGTTGCACCACCAAACCATGTAAATAAAACAGTAAAAAATACTTATCGTGCTACCAAAACTCTTAAGCTTCTTTACAAATANGGTATTTCGTTCAGATTTTAGCATTATCTCCGTATTATTTTTGTTACTTTAGGCCATATTCTTTGCACTTTTTGTGTTTGCACCCAGTTTTCATGTTTTCAAGTTTACGTTATACTTGTGATTCTGTTACTTATTTCATTTTACTTTTCTTTCAGTCTTTACGTTTGGTTTGGGAATGAAGACCAAAAGAACAAAATCAGTCAGTCTTCAGATTATTCTCGACTAAGTGCAGTTATACTTGCTTATGTATTTCATGACATCTGTTGTAAAAATAATGCAACTTAAAACATTCCCATAAAAATTAAAATAAAAAGATTAAAATAAAAATAATTAAATTAAATTAACAGCTCAGCACGCAAGAATGAATGATATTCAACCTTGCCGTAGTGTACAGGTCACAGATCATAACTTGGTTTTTCTAACAGTTAATATGTTTCCATCTGTCTTCCTCCGTTGCACCACCAAACCATGTAAATAAAACAGTAAAAAATACTTATCGTGCTACCAAAACTCTTAAGCTTCTTTACAAATAATTATAATTCTGGAGATTAAATACGTACGACATCTTAACAGTTACCTTGTACTGTCCACTACGAACATCTAAACGGCTGTTGGTTTACTGAAGTAGTCGGCGGCATGCAGAAACATTACATTACTAGTTACATGCAGGCACTTAATAATACATGTAGCACTAAATAACGTCAACAGCATTGCATGACTTAATGCAAGGGGAGGACATCTGGGATGAACTTAGGTTCGTCCTTGTCCTCCCCATAGAGAATCTTCCTCACTTTGGGCTGATTTCTCCAACGCAAAATCCGCTTAATGGCCGGATGGGACGTATTGAATACAGTGGTTATAAACTCCGTAGAAACTCTGTACTCCATATTTCCTTTCCGCCTCGCCGTTCCATTAATGAATGAATACATCGCCGGTTTTTTAAAAGTTTGTAACGAAGAAACGTTGCCAATGTTCATGGTATCAACTATTGTGTCCTTAATAAACCATGTGCGCATATAATCTCGCGGTAATATGAAATCGCCAGAGGCCGGGTACGCTCCCTTCACCTTATTCTTCCAATGTGGTGTAGGATTCTGCATATATACAGTGCGGGTGTACATACGGTATGAATTATAAAACTTCGCAGAAATATGAATGACAAACCATTGTGGAAACCACCAAGACAAGTCATCTAAATCCTCAACGAGTGGTAGCAGGAATGAAAGTGTGTGACGGTGATACGCGTTGATAATGGTTGTAGGTGATACCCACTGTGTCATTAGGCTTAGTCTTAAAATATGTTGGTCTTGCGTAACCCACTGCCGGCAGAAAATCCAATAAAAAAGTTCATAGCGATCGTAAGGGTTTCCCGGTAAATTTGTTCGCAAACCTACGCTTTGAACAGATTTGAGAAGCACATCGTCATCGAGAAATACGTGGTATAGATAGCCTCCATCTTTTTTCTCAGACGCACGGTCTACCGCTTCTTTCAGTAGTCGGTAACGACCCTCAGCTAAGGTGCTGTTGGGGAGGTAAATATCCCAGATTTGTCCCTGTGCGTCAGCCATATTATTTCCCGATTCGGTTTTGCTATGAGATTTTTTACAGGGTGAACCGACGCACCTTGAATAAGGTAAACAAACTGTGGCGAATCTCTTGTTTTGGTGGTGGAGGTTGTGTTCACCATTGTAAACGTATTGTATTCTACATGTGTCTTCCTTGCTGTCTTTTTGGTAGTCGAAGGTGTCCGCAGAAAGGTTACAAACAGCGTAAACAGAAGCCCTCCAACAGTAAGTAGAGTTTGCTGGTTCTTTTCATTGCACTGGTTTCAAAATTCGCCCGGAAAACAAGTACACTTCATGCAGTGAGATGGGCTTTAATGCATCTTAAAAAAAGGCATTCATCTTTGTTAGTTTGGATGTGGCCGTTTACTATAAGACAAGACCCTTTCCGAATTTTCCATCTTAATATGACGCAAATGATTGTTTTTTATCGTCTAGTCCCAAACAATACATTGTTTTATTTTAATGGTCTATTAAAATAAGTCATTCAGTTATGTTTGTTTCTTCGTTATTAACAATATGTAAATCCAATTATGAGCTGGGATCCTACATATATAGTAGGTTATGATACTTACAATATAAGACAACATATCACGTTTCTGTTTTATAAATTTATATAATAGCGCTTTAACGCAAATTTAATGACAAAACCTTCTCATTTTTATCACTCTGATGTACAATTGAGCCTTTTGCTAAACTCGTGTCGTTTATCGGTATACTTAACAGTGGATTAATTTATTTTACCTCATCGGGGTAATTTTAATATTTTTATTGCAGTATTTAGATGTAGTTTTCATTTTCAGTCGAATAATGAGAATTTAATGGGCATGGCAACACTAGTCGTAAGCAATGAATTCGGGCGAAATATTATGTCGCTAACTAGCTTTATTTGTCCGAAACTAACGATAACAGATTTCAATAAAATCCTAATTGAAAAAACCTCAAAAATTCACCTGTTGTTCACCTTCAAGCAAAACGGTGCAATGCTTTTGTCACCCCCTGTAGATAAAATTACACTTTTAATATGTATGGACCTAGATGTCATTACAAATGCACAACTGGTAAAATAAGTGAAATAAGTTTAAATCAAAAGTTTTGGTATTAATTTTTTTTTTAATCTTCACAAACAAAAAGGAATTTTCTCTCTAATACTATTAGAGTATACTATTAGACTATACGTATACAACGTGAAAAGTGATGGATATCGTATTGGTTTCGTGTATCCAAGACGATCAGATAAAACAGTTTTTGTGTAAAAAGAAGAAAAAAGATAATAGCTAAAATCGAGATTTAGGTGTTATTTCATTAACCCCATAATTTATTATTTCAGTTGAAGAAAAAAATCTGCAAAGTCATATTCTTTCAAACTGAAAGGTATGCATCAAAACCAAGAATAAGAAAACGACAAGAAGCTATAACTTCAGGCATCTCAGACGACAACGTTGCCGACGTCACGGTACATCATCAAGTTTTGGTACGTCTGAAACGATACATCACCGGATGTTATCCAACAACGGGGTCAGTGTTGACAAGGGTTGCCGCTTCTCCATTGGAGCCTCCGACGCACCATCCGGGACTCCAAACGCCCTTGAAGATGGGGGGATGACCGGCGGTTGTTGTCACAACTTCCGGAACGGCTGTCTTAGTCTTGTGTGCCGTTATAAGCTTTGAACGGAGTCGCCTCACAATGCTGGGATACTGACTAGCCAAATTTGACTTTTCTGTCGGGTCCTCTGAAAAATAGAAGATTTACAAATAAAAATTGAGATTTATATTCTTTTGATATCTTACGATGTTCCCTGATATGTTTTCTATATTTCATCATATTTTTCTTTGTGTAAGTGTCTCCTGTATTGACAACGGCTTCAAAATGGCGAATAATGAGGGTATTTTTTTTTTCATCGAGATGAACATGCATGTTAGGGATGCGTGGAGGTGTATTGACTCAGATAAGAAATCGATAACACTCTATTTTTTATCGCGTGTAGTGTTAGAACTTGGCCAAAAACACCAAATGCAAACCTTTTTTCTCCCAAATATCCACGTTCAATTTCGCAGCTTATAATATCTTATATTTTTAAATGTTAAATTTGGCATTATTTATGTGATTCTATTCCTAAAATTGATAATTGCTTATCCCGCACGAAAATGCAGTAGTATCGAAGTAGCAAAGAAGCATTAACGCAGTAGTGGTGTGGAGCATATTTGCAGTAGAAATGCAGTATACTCTACTGCAATTCTACTTCAAAAATTACATACGGTTGTACAGAGGAGGAGCATTAATGCAGTAGATTAGCAGCATGATAGAAGCATGTTTCAAATATGCTAATTAGCTCCCAATGCGAAGCAGATTTGAGGCATATTTGCAGTATGATTGCAGTAGTCTACTGCGCTGGAGCATCTACTGCGTTTTCGTGTGGGATAGTCTTCCGATTTCTCTCATGTATGCTTCACGTATTTCTCTCTGCACTATCTCAAATATAGATCGTTTTTTTTCCAAGTTTTAACAGATTTAGCATTTAGCTGTATTTGGAAACTGATTGTAGTGTTCAAATAACATCTTGCTTTGCTCACCTAAGATCGGAATGCACATAGGTGTTAGCTAACTCACTGGCTCAATCTTTGTCAAACAAACTTTTCAGCGTGCCTCGAAAACCCGGTAGCTGTTTCAGCAAAGTGAACTTGGGTGTTTAAAATTACTGTTGCAAAATGTATTATTGAAACCAGAGTCAATCAATGAGAACAAATAAGATTGAAATCCATTACTAGTCAAGTTCATTAAAACCATCCAATCCCTTCATATACTCGCTCTTAATTAACACATCTGCTTTCATAAATACTTGTAGTGCATTTGAGTACATACAGAATATCAATGCAATTTATCAAATTAAGTATTGTTCACTTATTCATTTTAAGAGAAAGATTTTATAAGAGAATATAATACATAATTATAAGATTATATCAGGATGGAAAATGGCACTTTTTTATGTGAGGTATAATAATAATAATATGAGTACAACTCCCAGGCCTTTTTTTACTGATAAACGGGGCCGTACTGGGGAGGAGGGGGGGGGGGGCGCAGAGAGGACGCCGTACAGTGTAAAGGGGGTTAAAATGCATGCCGCTCCTCACCTTTAATGTTATACAGTTGAATTCTATCTCCTCCCGTCGCAGGTCTGCCTTGGCCTTGTAGGGATGCGTGCAAATAAAAGGTGTAAATATATTAACTACCACAAATCTGAACCTTTGTAATTGATTGTAATCTGGAGATTTATTAGTAATTTTGATTTAATAAAATTTGTATTTAAAAAAAGCCCATTTACAAGACTCATATTGAAGACACTGAAAACCCATTATTTCTATTTCATGTCCAGAGATTGAACATTTCGCATCAGCAATGATGCAGCTCCGTATTAAATAGAATTTATTATATTAGCTGTGACACCATTCGAGCAACAGTGTACTTTGTGTGTAATATTATCCCGCTCTCTATTTCAGACACAAAAGCTGAATATTGCATGGTCTATCGGGCAGGAAGTGTTCACACGCCCCGCATAGTTGAGTTACCTTACATAATGACGTTAAAGGCGAACGTCTTACAACCTTGAAATTAAACGAGATAAAAACAAATTGTTTAATGCATGAACATAAATATCAGTGACCGTCTTTTATCAACATTTTCTCGTTTCCTCACATAAAGATGATCAAACCATTGGGGTTAATGTTATCATGGTATATATCTGTGCTGGGTTCTAGATTTGTCTTAATAGACGGGACTTGAACAAGATGTTTCTAAATGACTTTACTGTTACGGCTCATTTCTCATACCAATATCGAAAAAGCAACGTAGCGTACTTATTCCTAGATTCTGTCACTTTAACCTGGGGTAAATATTTTTGACGATTATAAACATTTACAAACAATTTTTTACGGTATAAACAATATATACTGCGTTTTATTTCCTATTCTTATGTATTTTTAATTTCATTCATCTATGTAGCCGTATCCAATGGTCTTAAATGAAGGGAAATAAGAACAAAGAAAAAGTGTACGTCTTGAACCGTTGCATCTGTTTTCTTGCCGCCTTAATCTAGGTGAATAAGCATTTACATCGGAGCTTAGATGGGACTTTTATTTACGGTGACATTCGTATTACAGGTTGTAGTGCAGCTTGCCCAAATACAGGTATATATTGATTTAATTGACCTTTCTACATCCGGGTACTCACCTGCTTGACGTCTGTCCTTGGATGACCCTTTAGTGGGCGTGGGGTTATCAAAGGGGTCCTCATCCCAACCGACTTGACGACTTTTGCCAATAATTAATTTCCAATCACCAGATCTAAAACAAATCGATTACGAATCCGCATCATGGTATAATTCTTATCAAGTATACTGCAGAGCTATAGAAAAATAAAATCGGGCCGTACAGAGATTAGAAGCGATAAATGTACTTTGTAAATGATTTCTGACGAACAAAATATTATATTTTGATCTCTTTGTTTGAAAGAAAACTATTTTATGGCATCTTGAGCATTGTACATTAAAGCAAAACAAATTTACTAGTACCTAATAACACCGCCAGGGGAGCTGGAGGCCAGATAATGTATGATGTCTGTGCGAGTTGATGCACCACCATCCAAGACAACCCTGGTTTGATCGCTGCCGTCGAATGTCTCATCTGAAATGTATAAGCCAGTCCAGGTGTTTACCTGCTGGATATTAAGTTAATCCATGACCCCATTCCCATACTTAGATCGATCTAAAGGGTCGACCCAGTTCCTCGCTAAATTGTTTTTATCTCGGAGATGGGTCGATCCTGCTAGGTTGATCTAGGTATGGGTACCTATTAATCGTTGATGATACTTTGAAAAGAGGAAATCATATCAGTACCCTTGGACTCATCCTGCCGTTCAATACCCACAGAACTTGTTTTATTATAAGTTTAAACTGGCATATTATTTGCATTTATTAAAACCAAGTTGGGAATCTGCCAAGCCGCAAATTCAAGAAGCAACTAAGGTGGACACCTGTCAACTATTGAAAACGAAAAACAAACGACATGGTTATTATATCAGCTCCTGGTAGCACAGGTAGACTTAGTCTGAGAGAGAGAGAGAGAGAGAGAGAGAGAGAGAGAGCATATATTGGAAGTGAACAGGCCAGTGGTACAAGTACAGTGGCTAGAGCGCCCTCTATTGGGCGCCTCCTGAAAGGGGGCGTCACTGCACTGATAATAATATTGATATTTCCATAAGAAATGTCATATTTAAACAATTTCATAGGTTGCCATACGTTTTACAAAATATAATAGTTATATAGCGGTATACAGTTTAACTTATATATATCATGCCCTCAGTACTATTAGATCCGGTCGGACAGACTGTCTGTATACCCACCACTTATATCAACCCCAGCAATAGTCAGAAGCGTAGGTGCCCAGTCAGACAAGTGCATTAGACTATCAAGAAAATTGTTAATGGTAATTTAATGCAGGTACGTAAAGTACAAATTGATCGAGCAAATGAATATCTTAAACTTAACATTCTGCAACAGACCATAATTGCCTGGCACATCAATGCATCTATTAGCGACTTAACAGAAGAAAGAGATTTTAGAAGAAAGATGTTTAGTTTTATCCTTGACATAAGCTTCTAACCAGTAATGCAAATAGATAAAATGCCAATGAATAAATTAAACATATACGTATTCATCTAAATCGTATTTTTTTCAAATATCCTACATCCATGTCACTGTGAGAACAGACAACCCCTACAAACCCCTGGGCGACGACACCTTTCCTCCTCAGCAAACCGCCGTACACAAACCCTGGGGTACGTATCCCGCCCTCGTAAAACCCGCCCTTCCTGCCTCTCAGTGGCCAGTTGTTGCCCGCGCTGGGAACTCCTCCGTTCTGTAGACGTGAGAGAGATCAAAACAATGGTAACGAATATGATGACTGAATAACGGTAACTAAATTACACATGTATGCATCGGACACTTCAGACAGTTTACACGCATGCGCACGTTTATTTGCTTGTAATTTTGTCGAGTGGAGGCTTTTTCATACATGTGCGCATTCACATGGTCTCAACATATCAAAAAAAAAAAAAGATGATTCTAAAATAAATAAATAAAGCATTTTTATAATATTTCATAATAAATAATCAAACCATGATTGATTATACAAGGATCATCTCTTTTTTTTTCATATATACATGTATTTACGTTAGGCATGCAGGTTGTACTTACATCTGAAAGCAGGACAAGCAAGGTATTATTCATCATGTTCTTCTTTTCCAAGGCCTTTGTGATATTGGCAACACCTTCGTCAACCACTGACATCATAGCTGAAAAGCAAAACATGTACTATAGCACTGGCATATCATGAATATCAAAAAGATGGACAGAGAATAAACAGATCCGCAAGTTTATGCGAAAAATTAAAAAAAAAATGCGCGATGAAACTAGGGATATTTTGCTCTGCAGAGTATATAAACTTGTTCAGTTGCAGTCCTGTATTGCTTTATGTAGCTTCTGGGAAAACGGCATGGGATGGTGGGGTTAACAGACTACTTTTTTAAATGTTGTGTATCATTTGGAACTGCCATCGAATAACATGGATGAGTAAAACAAAAACCTGGTTGAATTCATCTACGGTCGTTGGGTCGTTGGAGAGAGAGAGAGAGAGAGAGAGAGAGAGAGAGAGAGAGAGAGAGAGAGAGAGAGCTTGTCCAAATATCCAAATATTCTGGTTCTTATTTTAATAGTTTACATACCTCGCCATGAAATATCCAAAACTTCGGAGGACCTGGTTCCCGTTAAGAAAACGCACTCTAGAATACGTTTGAGACAGCGACGACATCAATAGGGACCGCTCCGACTCCTTGTTTCGAATCTCATATATTTACATTAAAAGAGAAACCACATACCTGCCAGGGTGCGCCTGTCTTTGTCTGCAATTGGCGGATAGCTGTTGATGACATCCTGGGGAGCCTGCAATGAACCCGATATAACGAAACTAAGTGTCCGTGTAACAGAAAGTCCGACCGCCATTTAGTTATAATGGTTAGGGTTAGCCTGACGTAAGTGGGTCAACATTTAGAGCGAGGCTTTTCTATACAAATGAATGGGAAGCAGACTCTCTACCGTAGGGGACTCTCTCTTACATTACACTGGCATCTCTGAATTTACTATCTTGTTTTACTACTAAGTACATGTAACTATCATCGTCATGTTTGCAAAAGTACTTTGTACAAAAATAATAATGATGACAAATTTAAAAGAAACGCGCTCTGCAAGCGGTTCAGCAAGTACGCAATGTGAAATTAATGAACGAATAATATTTCTTTATGATATGAGTAGCACTTTCTTTTTATGTGTAGAGATTCAAATTATTGGTTGCATTTGTTTTGATCACTATATTCTACACAACTACTTTTTTGTCATAAGCATATCTAAAATGTCGCGCGTGCTCACGCGTGTGAGAAAATGAGGAAAACAGACAGGGGAAAAAGTGCAAAGAAAGGAGAGACAGAAGGAAGGGAAGAAAGAGGACGATTCAAAGGCGAAATATGTGGAGAACGAGAGAGAGAGGAAATATTGGGATGGGAAGTGGGAAAGGAAAAGTCGGATACCTGATAAGGCGAGTGAGCCGCGTTATAGGCCACATACAGAAACAAGGGGTTAGTTACGTCGTGGTTTTCAATTACGTCCACTGCACGGTCAGACCACAAGTTCTGAAAAAGAAAATCGATAAAACTGGGTTCCCATAAACCTATCGTACTAGCAGGATCGATCTAACTCCGAGGGGATTCTCGATGAATTGCATTCAGTTTAAGCGGCTTAATTGCATGTCGCGCCAACTGAAGCTGCTAGGGGGTAACTAACTTTCGTGCACGCTTCAACTACAGTACCAGTAAATGCAATTTAGCGATAATCCCCTTGGAGATAGATCGATCCTGCTTGTATGGTAGGTTTATCGGAATGGTCCCTAACTCCCTGTTATGGAACGTGTTCGGCTTTGACGACATGATACATTATATCAAACTGTGGAGGGTTTATTCAGTTAAGTATTAAATGGGCAATTTTGACAATCGCGTATTTGATTTACACTGTAGTACCGATTCCATTATTTTCATAAGCAAACTCTATTTGTTTAGCATAATATCGTTGACAGAGTTGGAAATAGTGCATTTCATGGAAATAAGTATGTTGAAAAGATGGATAGGTTTATATCCCATGATCTTGTTAACTCACCGTGTCGTAAACGCCATCTTTGTCTTTGACACTCTGTCTGTTGAACCAAAGATCAAGTCCTCTGCCGGCTAAATGTGGCAAAAATACATAAACAGATCTAGAGGTAGATGATTCCCACTTACAGGTAGACATTACTAGGGTCCATATAATATCATTACCTTTGTTGTCGTCTTTTCCTTTAAACAATGTAATATGAAGTGCATTTCACAACGTACTTGTTGAGACGGTAACAAAAATTATCCCTTTGATATATGCAGTGTACCCCTGAATTGCATATACTAACACAATAATAAAAAAGAACATATTCCACAGGAATAACATGCTAATCAAATATTACAATTAACATTTGCATGATACAGCGATGACTTACATTTATGTGTATAATAATCATTGGATGCCAAGTAATGACCGTAAAAGGAATCAAACCCACGTTCAGTGGGAGTGTACTTCCAGTCACAAAAGCCCAAGTGCCACCTAAAAGTAACGAGTGTGTATTAGCGGGCTTGGAATTTGACAGCTGGGAAACGGTATACTGTCTTTATTTATACCTCTTCCATTTACTGACACATTGATATGAAGGTATTTGATATGCTTTCATACAAAAATCACCTGTATAAACCACCTACTATTTATGTTACATTTACCACTCGGTGCAGAAATAATAGCAATGCATGATTATGGCACTGAATATCCCAAGCCAATAGAAACCAAATCTATACGTACTTTCCGGTTGCATGGGTTGAGTATCCGGCCTTCTTTAGTTTTTGTGGCAACAGCTCAAGTCCAAGATCCAAGCCCTCAGCAGCGTCGCGGCCAAGTGGGGTGGAGTCCTGAATGTGAGTTCACATATTATTACCTTTGCAAACCGATCCAATCTGGTATTATACTGTTGTAGCTATGGAACTTAAAATTGAGGAACAAAGCAAGCACTGGAGGTACATGTAGGCCTACGTGTCAGACAACACAACGACAGAACCAATTAAATCAAAAAAGTGATTTTCCAAGCTCACAATAAACGTAGAGACAGTGGTCATGCAACTTAGCTACTGTTCTGGAATTACTCCGTGAAACTGATTACTGTTCACTTTATCAGTCAAGCAAATGTGTTCACTCATGTGATACACAAGACCACACCTACTGCACATCACACTGCGACCTCATTTTGAAAGGAGAGGGACATGACTCTCCTGCTATGACTTTATAGACTCCACAATTATGTAAGTGTTTAAGTTTGCTTTAATTTTATGAATTTATGAATATTATAGTTTTGAATTTTATTTGTAAGCTACGGGTATATGGAAGCGGGCAGAAAATACAAAATTTAACAAGAAAGATAAGTTTCAGGTTTAACCTATCGCACAGTTCAAAATTATGGTCTATACATACATTACTCATATATGATATCAAACAATAGGATTCTTCCCTTATGATTTTCTCGTTGTAAATGTTTGCGTTCATTTATTTATTTATTTATTTATTCATTCATTTCATTCCAATATTTCCGTGACAGAAGTTTTCACTCTTTGCTGACAGCTACACAGAACGAACTACTTGCCTAGTTGGTAAGGGTCACGGTCAACTTATAACATCCCAGGTCATACTTACGTCCATGTAGACATTGTGTGGGTAACGACCAGTCATAAGGGAGGCACGGGACCTACAAGTGTAGTACAGGTAAAGTGCATTAGGGGAGCGTAATATTTTGCCTGTTGCTTTAAATACATTTCGATAATGATTAAGGTCCTCTTACTGTGGTTATTGAGCTAAATGACCAATTTGAACAAGTATCAAGTATATACATGTACGTAAAACATTACGAGTCTAAAAAATCAGGCTCATTGGTAAGTTCCGAAGACCTACGGGCTACAGACAGGCTGAGTGTATGATTGGTTGAGAATCAATCCGTCGTTTGCCAACTTAGTCAGTGTGGGAGTTTTAATGTGTTTGTTATTCCAGCCGACGTCATTCCAACCTAAAAGAGATGTATATATTATTATAGGAGTGCATGTATTTTGGAACTTATATGTGCATTTTGTTCTTTATTGATAAAAATCTATAAATGATATTTAAATAAATACGAAATAAAATATATTCCGGTAGTTCATAATCATCCAGTAACACGGTAAAATAGCCGAGTATAGAAGCAGAAAAGTCGTTACAATGGATATAATTTTATGATACATAAAATTATATATAATTTTTCTAATTATATTCCTAGCAATCATTGAAAGATCTAAATGCTTCCTTGTTTTCAAATAAACATTTTAATGAAAAATAAATCAACTTTTCCAATCAACAAAGATAATTTAAAAATTGGACGAGACCACGTGTGACTTGATTTTCAACAAATTGTTAGACTAAGATCATAGGATCATAAGATCATTGTTAGACCTAACGTTTGTCTTTGAGTCAACTAGCAGCTTACCCACATCATCCAGCAAAATCATCACAATATTTGGCTTCGAAGGCTGTGTCAGAACGCTGTCGTTACACATACATATCACTACGATGGTGAGCAAGGTCACTAATCTACCCGCCATTGTGCAGCTGGACCAAGCCGTATTGAACGCCTGGCTATCAATCAAAAACGTCCCCCTAGGTTTGTCTGTATTTAAGGCATGTTAAGGATCGCGTGGGCAGTGAGTTGGAGGGTACAGATTAAGATTATAGAGGTAGAACCATGTGGCCGCGATCACAGCAACATATACCTGGAGCTTATATATACATCTACCTGTACCCTCTGACCACAGGGACCGCTAGTAGTCTCTTACCATATAATGGCCTCTACTTTTTTTTTAATTGTCTAGAGGCTCTTGTGATCATAGGATATTGTTCCTCCATCTTAACTACCCTCTACCAGGGTCACAGATTGATTTTTCACTAGAAAGTCACAGATAAGTCTTTGGTTAAATAGTTCACTAATCTCTGCCCTCTCTAATGCCTCAGCAAAAAAGGCCACAGAGTAATGACTGCGGCAATGGTAGAGGGTACATCTTCACCCGGCCTGGGACTCTCCCACACGGAACGGTTTTGTGTGTTCGCTCGTTTTACACTTCTTCCAGCACTTTTTATTGCAGTATATGGGGATGGCAGGTTCGAGGCGTAAAGAAAACATCTAGTTTAGTTTTATTGTTTGTTAATTTTAATTATTTAAAAAAATATATTTATATTTAAAAATATGTGCCTGTCCGTGTCATCGTTTTCGGTATATATATATTTTTTAATATTGCATATATTGTACATGTACACAGCATGGAATCATTTCCGCAGTGCTGCGGGTCTGACCTTAAGAATATTGTTATTTTAAAACAGTTAGGTCGCTACACGTGGTAAAATTGTACCCATTGTTTCTGATTAAAAATATTGTCTGCTCATAAAATATGCATGCTAATCACGACCAAAACCACAGTTGTGAGCACGCTGTAATAACATGCATGTACATACTCTCCTTTACGTTTCTATTGTACCTGTAGGCTACTTGGTTTTGTCAATATTACAGGTAACCACTAACTTATGGCAATACTGCGCACGTACATCGCTATCTTCAAAGTAAACAGAACTTTAATATGAAGAATACAACCGAGGTAAGAAGAATTCTTTTAAATTCAATTCTATCTTTAATCATTACATAATACCATTGATGCATTCCTGACAAAAGTGACAGTTAAAAGCCAATTTTTCTTTAAAGTAACACAGTTTGTTTTCGACCCTCTCGCGCACGCGTCAAAAATCGAATGACCAGTCTCATTTAGCCAATCACTGGCTCGGTTACACTGTTCTCCGCAGTACACCATCCGGGACTCCAGGCACCACCCCAGTTGTCTGGGTTAGACAGCTCACTCTCCTGGTATTTTTTCAGATTAGGATAAGTCTTGTGTAGTTCACGGAGCCTGTTCTGTAGCCGCTGGACTAACTCTGGGTATTGCGCAGAAAGATCAGTGCGCTCGTAGGGATCGTCTGAAAGTAACACATGTGCAATACCGTGTTAATTCGAATTTTGTTGGTTATTGGTATTTCCTATTTTCTACTATGTGGACTATCCTTGAACTTCAATGTAAAGTACTTGCATGCGTATTTCATGCCCCCAAGCTCCTTAGCCTGGGCTTTCTTTCACATATACTATTCGTACAATGTAGGCCTACTTCAAACAGAGCCAGTGATAATAATAACTGAAATATGTAAGTGCTGCTACAATAGCGCCCCCTCCTTACGAACCCTGCCTTACCTGACACACCACAGCCCATCCCTTAATTAATTAATTCGTCTAAATCTGAACAAGTACATGTAGGACATGGGACGAATTCGTAATTTATCGTCTCACCTTTGATGTTAAACAGGTATGTGACGTATTCCCTGCTTCCGCTAGGTCGCACCTTGTCTACAGTTGTACCAGGCACCTTGGTTACCTTGGCAGGTTTTGGGGCTCTCGTTGTCCTAACCTTAGGAACCTTGGGTGTTTTGTTGAGCTTGTCCTTGTTTTTGCCACCTAAGCCACGCCGCCACCTAGTGGCGCCGGCCTGACCTTCAAGGTCAAATGGATCTTGGTACCAGTCGTCAAGGTCATGACCCACATGGCCCTCGATGAGTTTCCAGTCGCCTTGTCTATTAATTGGAATTTTGACAAGAGGAACGTATCCGACTTGATTACTCGTATTTTAAAAAGTAATTGTAAGATCATGTCATTTATATAAACTTTTGCATCTGTTATCATTGTATTTTCCCCAACAACAACAAAATTTATTAACATCACGATAGTGATAGTTGTATAACGATGTATAACGTATAACGTGTTTGTGTATTCCTTCTCACCTAATAACACCTTGCTGTCTGACTGGAGGAGAATCTGGAAGATTTCTCTGGCTCAGGAAGTGAATAATTTCGTCTCTGCTGGAGTTGGCACCTTCCAAAACGGTCTTCGTCATATCGATACCATCTAGGTTTTCACCTATAAACAACAACGCATACACATTTTAAAACGCTTTATCACTAGCGGTTACAGCCAACTTTGCCCCAGGGAGCCGACATTGCTTACATACATGTATCGCGATGCGGCAAGTAATACACGCAAACAGTGTACTTACATTTCATATTTGGTAACAATTGATTTGAAAACACATATCTTAAACCCGAGGAATCACCAATCTCAGCAAAACGTCCTCTCATAACATATTAGTCGTCTTACCAGTAACGTCCCCACCGGCAAGGGAAAGAATAGTCGGGGTCCAGTCAGCTATGTGGAACAATCTGGAAATTTTATATCAGAACTCTACATGTATTGACTGCATCATTCATTATATTCCAATAAACTAATGAAGAAAACACTAAAATCATTTTGTTTGGATCTGTGATTCACGTAATACCAAACTTTGAAATTGTAGATAAAGCAATCATAAAATTATTAACAAGTGTTTGGAACATAGAATAAAATGCAAGACAAGTGCCGTAAGGCATATGCCCACCCATTGTGTGTGTAGCCTTTTTTCTTCAGAAGTCCACCGGAAACAAAGGCAGGGGTTCTCATACCCCCCTCGAAGAATGTGCTCTTGGCGCCACGTAGCGGGTAATTGTTACCAGAGCCATACTGACCGCCGTTCTGATGGAAAAATTATACTTATAGTTTTATATTTTGTCATTGTCATTATTACTAAAATCCTATCCGCAATTTCGTTTACTCTTCCTAGCTTTCTTTTAACCGGAAATGTTTTTCATTTCGTTTTGGAATTGGGACATCAAATATATCCAATTTCAAAAGAAACAAAGGATTGCGATTACTGAGATTGATATTGTTGTTTTTACAAAGATATACTATATTTTATATATACTGCTTTTATTCACAGCGAGATGACAGAGTTCTGTTGATTAAAATACAAGTAATATAAGCGCACATACGTCGGACAGGAAGAGAAAGAAGGTATTATCCATAATGCCACTGTCAGTAAGGGCCTTAGTGATGTTAGCCACTCCTTCGTCGATAACGGACATCATTGCTACAGAGAAGAAATGGTACGTGCAAATCTTGTAATGACTGAGCTTTAACGAAATTTATACATGTATATTTCTTCAAATTCATCTTGTGTACTGAATGTAATTATGCCCGCTAAAACATCTTGAATTAAGTAAAATTCAGCCTCAGTGTTTTGGTAGTGGGGTAGCAAAATATAACGATGAGGGATATATACCAGCACGCACAGTGTATAGGATACAGGTGAAATCTCCAACCGATATTATCGTCATAATTGCTTTGTAAAATATCCACCTTTCAAAATTTTCATTACATTATTCAGTAATAATAATAATAATAATAATGATAATAATAATTTACGAAGTCGCACCTCCAACTGTCCTTCGGTTGCCGTTAGAGATCTTAGGATATTTGGCGATGGCGTCTTGAGGAGCCTAAAACGAAATGTTGGTAAATATAGTCATTGTACATGGAGCAGTTTACCGGCACATGTCCAATATGAAAACAAAGATTGTTTTAATATTATTCGTTTTGAATAAGACGTTACAAGGCAACAGGTAATCGAATTTGGACTTTGAAACACTCAGATAGAGGAAACCTCCGCCAAGGACATTGATAAATTGCTGTAGTTGAGAGTACATTGATTGCACAACTAGCCCTGGGCCATTGGCCAAATCTGGCAGAGGTGGTGAATCCTTTTAATATTATTCGATCGTGATGGTGACCTGAATCAAGCATCACCAACAAAATCTAATCACTTCGATGTTAGCCCATCTTTAATCTATCCTGAATATGTCATCAAAACATATCTGATTTTTTTACTTTGGCTGGCGGCAACCAAGCAAAGAAACGGAGGTAAATTCATGGCATCCTTGGCGGAGGTAAATACAAAAATTCCTTGTCGGAGGTAAAAAAAAAATGATGCCATATCCATGTTCAATACATAAATGTCTATACTACTCATAATTCGATTGATTTGTTATACTAGAGCATGTACATGTATATCATTAATTCTCTTATCTCAGTATTGGTAAAATGTGGCGAAAAAAAACCTTGGAGGTTAAAACATTTATAAATACTAGCAACATTGCGTGTACAAAAGTGTTCATTCCAATATTAATTAAATCGAAAAGTAAATAAAAGTTGCGAATTGCAAAGACGCAAAGAAAGGCGTCTTAGCTTAAATCTTTTGAATACAACATACACTACATAACGAGCTTTATAAGAAAATAAAATACCACACATATACTTCATTCGCTCTTATAACAGTAATTCATACATGCATATGACATTTGGAGAGCCGAGAAATAATACACCTACCCTGAGCGGACCGTGAATCCCGTTATAAGCCACGTAGACAAAAAACGGTGCGTTTTTGTCGTGATTCTTGATGATTTCCACAGCTCGGTCGGACCACATGTTCTAGGTAAGAAGGGATAATCATTTTATTGTATACCAAGTCAGCAAATGCACCATCGCTGGGCAACGTCCCTTGCATCGGTAACTACACGGTTAAGCCTTAACTTACCAATCACCAACATAGCCGTATTGGGGTGATTCTAAAGTTTCAGGGTCGATTTAGAACTTGACGAGAGTGTTTTTTTTTCAATTTTTTGAATTTCATGCGTTTTTTTATTAAAAATATTTTGATTAGTTGCTGTACATTATACCTTCGCATTTAAAGGAAATATTCAAATGTGTTTTACTTTAATCTCAAAAGGCATAATACGTTATTTGACGTAGTATTCAAGCCACTATGACAGTAACATGACGTGGAAATGACATAGTGTTGTGAATTAATTTACACTAACAAACTGCATGTAGGTTTAATGTATTAATTTCGTGTCATTTGCTATACTCACTGTATCGTATACACCATCTTTGTCTGTCACGAGGGTCTTGTTGAACCGCAGATCGAGACCATCAAAGCCATCTTTGCCAATTGTGGCTGTAAAAACGATAATTTGTGTGAATCATAGATAGACACATGGCACGAGTAAAAACTCAGTAAATTCCGAACTTATTATGATATTTTAAATCATGTATTTCTTGTTCTTTGTTATTATCATTTTAATATCAGTGCTATGTGATTTAAGACACTCACTGCGATGGGTGAAGTAATCATTTGCGCCCAAGTAAAAGCCGAAGAAGGTGTCAAATCCGCGTTCTGTTGGAGTGTACTTCCAATCGCAAAATCCCAAGTGCCATCTGAAAGATAAAAGTAGATCTTAATACAGTTTAGTTATCATTTAGTTATTATTGATTACTATTAGTATGCTGAAAAACCAAAGAACAAAGAACTTAGAGTGTAATTCATGATTATGGAAGAGTATTACTTGAAAACAGTACCTGGTTCTACATTGTATGCAAGGGTTTTCATCAAATACTAAGGGATGTTCTGATGCATAGGTATATGCATGTACCACTTTATGTCAATAAGGCTCCAAATTCCACTAACTTTGCCAAAATGTAGGCCTATTTACAATTTCTAACATTTTCTAACCCGTACTCACTTTCCAATGGCGTGTGTAGTGTAGCCTAGTTCTTTTAATTTCTGTGGTAAAATCCAGTACTTCAAATCCAAGCCGTCCGGTATGGTGGGACCGAATGTAGCAGCACCCTGTCAGAAATATTAGGACTGATGCAGTAAAGTTCAATACAACATCTGTATTTCATCTGCATCTACGGGCACAGTAAGTAATGGTATGACAAAATTGTTTTCAGCTTAAGCGGCTTAGGTGTCTGGCACGCCTACTAAAGCTGCTCAACGATAGTTTATTACCCCCTATCAGCTTCAGTAGCCGTTACAGACATCGAAGCCGCTTCAGTTGGTTGTAATTTAGCGAGAATCCCTTCGGCGATAGATCGATCCACAGTTAGTACGACAGGGTCTGGGAATAGTCCCTGAAGCTCATTGCTGAAACCTGCCCAGCGGTCATTCTGCGCACAAAATCTCTGCACTCTATAATCAAGAAAACAATTATGTCTTCGGTTGGCGAATTCCATGTGCGTCTCTGACCCACTATTGCCTTGAAGTTCCTCAATGAATTGGAAATGCTGTGAGATATGGGCAGCTCTAGATACACTTGCTTTAAGGTGAAATGTGCATAAACACGTTACCAATGTGTTAATAAAACGCACTTCATAGCACTATAACGAAAAGAAAATGACCACATCTTCTCAATTTTGATATTGCCAAAACCGTGTTCTGAATTCTAAATTCATGTAATGAGACCAAATTGTACTGTACGTTCTCAGTAATAATAATAAACATTAAACTGTGTAACTTATGCCTTAACTTCACCACCGAAAGAATCAGTGCTGTCGAATATTTCACTCTATGGCACCAAGGTGAATTCTCCAAGAAAAAAAAAGAGAAAGAAATAAAGGACACAGAAAAAATAGATTGCACCGGATTTTAAAATATTGTCCAACAAAGAGGGAAAGTGTAGTGCCTCTCCCCCTCAAAAATGTTTCGAGTATCCGCCAAGGTGGTACGCTCCAACGGAATATAAACTTTAACTTACGTCCATGTTCACGTTATGTGGGTAACGGCCTGTGAGAAGGGCCGCCCTGGATCTGAAAACAAACAGTAGATCTATATTACTTTTAGAAAAAGTAATGAACTGCTGGCTGTGAACTACATTGAAGTGAACTTTTCCACCGAGTTGAATTGAATTAAGACAATTTATAAAATGTTGTATTTATTGTGAAAGCAATGATTTATTGTATACTTACGGAGAGCACACGGGTTGAGAGTAAGAGTTGTTGAGGGTGACTCCTTCACGTGCCATTTTGTCCAAATTTGGCGTCTTGATGTGTGGGTTGTTCCAGCCAACGTCATTATAACCTTGTTAAATGGACGGCAGGAGTTTGAAAAGCATTATACTTAAATATATTGTACTGGAAGCATTTTAGAATTTGTACAACATATCGTGTCCAATCAAATGATGTGACTAAAGAGTTCTAAGTGTCACAAATATGGGGCCTACATGTACCATTCAAAGGGAGGGGATTCCATCTACGAAATAAGGCAGTCCGTCACAACACAATTTTGTAGGCGTAATCTTACATTGAATTACATTCCTTTCTATTCCGATAGAGGTTTCAATTTGAAATAGGATATTTAAAAAAAAATTCTAGGGGTAGGAGTTATATATTTCTACCACACTCTGTACGTACTCTCAGTTCTCAATAACTTACCGACATCGTCCAACATAACCACCACAATGTTAGGTTTGGTGGGTGGCTGGGAGAACACAGCTCCCAAACAAACGAACAGACACAACGCCTTGCCCATGCCCATGGTGAAGCCTGCTATAACTTGTGTCTAAGTCGGTTTTTATAGACGTCTACACGTGGGAAAATTACCAACATGTTCGCCTACAGCGTATCAGGTCCCCCGCGCTTTGGCCTACGCGTACAGCTTGGACCCCTTCCCATACCTAGAGCGATCTAGCAGGATCGACCCAGCTTAAGCGGCTCTGATGTCTGATATGCCTACTGAAGCTGTTAGGGAGTAATTAACTATCGTTTTCCATATGACGTGCCAGACATCTAAACCGCTTAAGCTGAATGCAATTTAGCAATAATCCTCTCAAAGATGGGTTGATCCTACTAGATCGATCTAGGTATGGGAATGGGGTCTAATGCGTGGTCACATTGATCTGTAGTTGCTGCAAAAAAGCATTGGGAGTAATCAAGGTACAGGATAGGCACTGTAGGTGGGTTGACATATTTTCCAGCCAGAATAATTTAAAACTGCCATTTACGCTCAAAGCGTCACGTATTTGGCCTTCAAAATTAAGCAAATGTTGCACATTTGTAATCTCTTATTTTCATGTATTTTCCTTCTGTGGTTTTTTCTTAAACTCTGCTGACAAGGCAACAGTGACACCCATGGACCGCGTCGATTAAGATAAGTAAAACCCCAACCATTGTGTCCTATCCGTGACCTTGAATCGCTTAACCCAAGATAAACCAGGTGACACAGCGATAACGTCAGACGAGTTCATTAACGATATGGACATACCACGACTATCTATAAGCATGCAGGCTAATACAAACGCATTCAAATACCAAGTAGACTTTTGCAGCACAAAAAATATGCGGAATTTTTCTTATTGGACTATAACCAAAGTATGCCTGGGTCTCAATATTGTAAAGCTGTATTGTAAAGTTTTGTTACTTTCTGCTCTCGTTGGAATGAAATTATATATCTATCTAACTTCTTGAGAGACGCTGCCCATAGGTGAACAAAATTAAGTGTCCAGCCAAAAATCTTTCACTTGAAAATAAAAGGTGCATCATCTATAATACGAAGCAATGTATAATTGCATTAATATAAACTGATAAAAAAAGCACCGGTACCAGAGCCTCTTACGGACAGTCCGGTACCCACGGATATGAGTGAAGCTTTGTCCTAGATTTTGACCCATTTACGTCACACTAACCCTAGCTTGTGCGAATCTAATGGAGGACGGCCTGTCAGATACGTGAAATCGAAGGCCCGTCCCAACGGGGTCACAAACCAACAAACACTATTCTAAATTCTCTAGAAACGCAATCACGACCGGATGTCTCAACCGCGGCTCAGCTAACACAACGGGCTTTTCAGGGTAGATAAGTCCGTTTACACAACTAGATAGCAATATGTACAGTCTTTATTATCTCAACTGTCTTTAATATTATGAGGAGTTCTGTCACAGTTCAGCCACTCTAGTTGTTGTGAGACAATGATTAACAGGTTGAGTACCTGTACAACGTCACATAAGTGTATATATGTACGTATTGATCAAATCATGAAGACTAGAAGTTATTCATCCTCGACCATGTTTTGACCGAGGTGGCAAACAGCATGTTGAGTGAACATCGCTGTTAAGTCAGATCTTAATTGACGAGGATAAAAAGACGGAAATCAACGAAGCTGCGCCCTGCAGGGTTTCCTTGTTGTGTTTCAAAACCAAAACTTTCCAGTGATTTATATAAAATCGAGGAAAACCGTGAATGACAATATAAAAGCCAGCTGACCATGGCGATTCCAGGGACGAAGAATCTCTTAATCCTACTTTTAATCCTGTACGAAGGTATGTACCGATGGGGAGTGAAACGTCAGTTGATTGCCAATCGACAGGAGATTTGTCATACCTGTGCCTATTCTTGAAAACGGACTTCGAAAATTGCATGAAATTTTCATTTTCATGAACGTGTAATAATTCGTCTTTAAAAGTGATATCCTACAAAAAAAAGTTGATGGAAGTGTGTGTGTGTGTGTGTGTGTGTGTGTGTGTGTGCGCGTGTGTGTGTGTGTATGTGTGGCTGGGTGGCTGGTTGTGTGTGTGTGTGTGTGTGTGTGTGTGGTGGTGTGTGTGTGGGTGGCTGNGCCCATACGTCGGACAGGAAGAGAAAGAAGGTATTATCCATAATGCCACTGTCAGTAAGGGCCTTAGTGATGTTAGCCACTCCTTCGTCGATAACGGACATCATTGCTACAGAGAAGAAATGGTACGTGCAAATCTTGTAATGACTGAGCTTTAACGAAATTTATACATGTATATTTCTTCAAATTCATCTTGTGTACTGAATGTAATTATGCCCGCTAAAACATCTTGAATTAAGTAAAATTCAGCCTCAGTGTTTTGGTAGTGGGGTAGCAAAATATAACGATGAGGGATATATACCAGCACGCACAGTGTATAGGATACAGGTGAAATCTCCAACCGATATTATCGTTATAATTGCTTTGTAAAATATCCACCTTTCAAAATTTTCATTACATTATTCAGTAATAATAATAATAATAATAATAATAATAATTTACGAAGTCGTACCTCCAACTGTCCTTCGGTTGCCGTTAGAGATCTTAGGATATTTGGCGATGGCGTCTTGAGGAGCCTAAAACGAAATGTTGGTAAATATAGTCATTGTACAATGTACATGGACCAGTTTACCGGCACATGTCCAATATGAAAACAAAGATTGCTTTAATATAATTCGTTTTGAATAAGACATTACAAGGCCACAGGTAATCGAATTTGGACTTTGAAACACTCAGAGAGAGGATACCTCCGCCAAGGACATTGATAAATTGCTGTAGTTGAGAGCACATTGATTGCACAACTAGCGCAGAGCCATTGGCCAAATCTGGCAGAGGTGGTGAATCCTTTCAATATTATTCGATCGTGATGGTGACCCGAATCACGCATCACCAACAAAATCTAATCACTACGATGTTAGCCCATCTTTAATCTATCCTGAATATGTCATCAAAACATATCTGATTTTTTACTTTGGCTGGCGGCAACCAAGCAAAGAAACGGAGGTAAATTCATGGCATCCTTGGCGGAGGTAAAAAAAATGATGCCATATCCATGTTCAATACATAAAAGTCTATACTACTCATAATTCGATTGATTTGTTATACTAGAGCATGTACATGTATATCATTAATTCTCTTATCAATGCGTGTGCTCAGTATTGGTAAAATGTGGCGAAAAAAAACCTTGGCGGTTAAAACATTTATAAATACTAGCAACATTGCGTGTACAAAAGTGTTCATTCCAATATTAATTAAATCGAAAAGTAAATAAAAGTTGCGAATTGCAAAGACGCAAAGAAAGGCGTCTTAGCTTAAATCTTTTGAATACAACATACACTGCATAACGAGCTTTATAAGAAAATAAAATACCACACATATACTTCATTCGCTCTTATAACAGTAATTCATACATGCATATGACATTTGGAGAGCCGAGAAATAATACACCTACCCTTAGCGGACCGTGAATCCCGTTATAAGCCACGTAGACAAAAAACGGTGCGTTTTTGTCGTGATTCTTGATGATTTCCACAGCTCGGTCGGACCACATGTTCTAGGTAAGAAGGGATACACATTTTATTGTATACCAAGTCAGCAAATGCACCATCGCTGGGCAACGTCCCTTGCATCGGTAACTACACGGTTAAGCCTTAACTTACCAATCACCAACATAGCCGTATTGGGTTGATTCTAAAGTTTCAGGGTCGATTTAGAACTTGACGAGAGTGGTTTTTTTCAATTTGTTGAATTTTATGCGTTTTTTTTATTAAAAATATTTTGATTAGTTGCTGTATATTATACCTTCATATTTAAAGGAAGTATTCAAATGTGTTTTACTTTAATCTCAAAAGGCATAATACGTTATTTGACGTGGTGTTCAAGCCACTATGACAGTAACATGACGTGGAAATGATATAGTGTTGCGAATTAATTTACACTGACAAACTGCATGTAGGTTTAATGTATTGATTTCGTGTCATTTGCTATACTCACTGTATCGTATACACCATCTTTGTCTGTCACGAGGGTCTTGTTGAACCGCAGATCGAGACCATCAAAGCCATCTTTGCCAATTGTGGCTGTAAAAACGATAATTTGCGTGAATCATAGATAGGCACATGGCACGAGTAAAAACTTGAAAGATGATACCTGACATGAACTAGTAAATGCCGAACTTATTATGATATTTTAAATCATGTATTTCTTGCACTTTGTTATTATCATTTTAATATCAGTGCTATGTGATTTAAGCCACTCACTGCGATGGGTGAAGTAATCATTTGCGCCCAAGTAAAAGCCGAAGAAGGTGTCAAATCCGCGTTCTGTTGGAGTGTACTTCCAATCGCAAAATCCCAAGTGCCATCTGAAAGATAAAAGTAGAGCTAAATAAAGTGTAGTTATTATTTAGTTATTACTGATTACTATTAGTATGCTGAAAAACCAAAGAACAAAGAACTTACAGTGTAATTCGAGATTATGGAACAGTATTACTTGAAAGCAGTTCCTGGTTCTACATCGTTTGCAAGGATTTTCATCAAATACTAAGGAATGTTCTGATGCATAGGTATATGAATGTACCACTCAATGTCAATGGGACTCCAAATTCCACTAACTTTGCCAATAATTTATTTACAATTTCTAACATTTTCTAAACCGTACTCACTTTCCAATGGCGTGTGTAGTGTAGCCTAGTTCTTTTAATTTCTGTGGTAAAATCCAGTACTTCAAATCCAAGCCATCCGGTATGGTGGGACCGAATGTAGCAGCGCCCTGTCAGAAATATTAGGACTGATGCAGCCAAGTTCAATAAAGATTCTATATTTCATCTGCATCTACTGGTACAGTAACTAATGGTAAGACAATGAGCATGCTTCATCCACGTGGTAGACTATTATATATCCAATCAGCCCTGGAAACGGTTTCACAAAAGAGATATGGCCCGTAAATCGGTCTAACCGAGGCAAAAATATTTACATCTTGCAACCTGTTGCCGCCGCAAATTTGCAACAAAAATTACTATACAAATGAGGTTCTGTTTTAAATTTGAAAGGAAATAAAGGCTTCTTGCAAAATTGCCGCAAACTTAAGATGCTCTTGCAAATTTACTGCAAGTTTGCAGCAACATTATTTTCTCGCAACAACTTGCAAACAGTTTTGTTTGCAGCAAATTTGATGCAGTCGATCATTTCACTCCGTGACGCCAAAGTAACTTCTCAATACAAGGAAAGGAAAAAGACCGCTGCTACAATGTAGCACTGAAAAAAAAATTGTACTGGATTTTAAAATATTGTTCAACAAAGAGGGAAAGGGGAGTCCCCCACCCCCAAAATAATGTTTCGAGTATCCGCCAGAGTGGTACGTATCAATGGTATATAAACTGTAAACTTACGTCCATGTTCACGTTATGTGGGTAACGGCCTGTGAGAAGGGCCGCCCTGGATCTGAAAACAAACAGTAGATCGATATTACTTCTAGAAAAAGTACCGAAGTTCTGGCTTTGAACTACGTTGAAGTGATGTTTTCCACCGAGTTGAATTGAATTTAACAATTTACAAAATGTTGTATTTATTGTGAAAGCAATGATTTATTGTACTTACGGAGAGCACACGGGTTGAGAGTAAGAGTTGTTTAGGGTGACTCCTTCACGTGCCATTTTGTCCAAATTTGGCGTCTTGATGTGTGGGTTGTTCCAGCCAACGTCATTATAACCTTGTTAAATGGACGACAGGCGTTTGAAAAGCATTATACTTAAATATATTGTACTGGGAGCATTTTATAATTTGTACAACATAGCGTGTCCAATCAAATGATGTGACTAAAGAGTTCTAAGTGTCACAAATATGGGGCCTACATGTACCATTCAAAGGGAGGGGATTCCACTTACGAAATAAGGCAGTCCGTCACAACACAATTTTGTAGGCGTAAGCTTACATTGAATTACATTCCTTTCTTTTCCGATAGAGGTTTCAATTTGAAATAGGATATTTTAAAAAATAATTTCTAGGGGTAGGAGTTATATATTTCTACCACACTCTGTACGTACTCTCAGTTCTCAATAACTTACCGACATCGTCCAACATAACCACCACAATGTTAGGTTTGGTGGGTGGCTGGGAGAACACAGCTCCCAAACAAACGAACAGACACAACGCCTTGCCCATGCCCATGGTGAAGCCTGCTATAACTTGTGTCTAAGTCGGTTTTTATAGACGTCTACACGTGGGAAAATTACCAACATGTTCGCCTACAGAGTATCAGGTCCCCCGCGCTTTGGCCTACGCGTACAGCTTGGTCCCCTTCCCATACCTAGAGCGATCTAGCAGGATCGACCCAGCTTAAGCGGCTCTGATGTCTGATATGCCTACTGAAGATGTTAGGGAGTAATTAACTATCGTTTTCCACATGACGTGCCAGACATCTAAACCGCTTAAGCTGAATGCAATTTAGCAATAATCCTCTCAAAGATGGGTTGATCCTACTAGATCGATCTAGGTATGGGAATGGGGTCTAATGCGTGGTCACATTGATCTGTAGTTGCTGCAAAAAAGCATTGGGAGTAATCAAGGTACAGGATAGGCACTGTAGGTGGGTTGACATATTTTCCAGCCAGAATAATTTAAAACTGCCATTTACGCTCAAATCGTCACGTATTTGGCCTTCAAAATTAAGCAAATGTTGCACATTTGTAATTTCTTATTTTCATATATTTTCCTTCTGTGGTTTTTTCTTAAACTCTGCTGACAAGGCAACAGTGACACTCATGGACCGCGTCGATTAAGATAAGTAAAACCCCAACCATTGTGTCCTATCCGTGACCTTGAATCGCTTAACCCAAGATAAACCAGGTGACACAGCGATAACGTCAGACGAGTTCATTAACGATATGGATATACCACGACTATCTGTAAGCATGCAGGCTAATACAAACGCATTCAAATACCAAGTAGACTTTTGCAGCACAAAAAATATGCGGAAATTTTCTTATTGGACTATAACCAAAGGGTGCCTGGGTCTCAATATTGTAAAGCTGTATTGTAAAGTTTTGTTACTTTCTGCTCTCGTTGGAATGAAATTATATATCTATCTAACTTCTTGAGAGACGCTGCCCATAGGTGAACAAAATTAAGTGTCCAGCCAAAAATCTTTCACTTGAAAATAAAAAGGTGCATTATCTATAATACGAAGCAATGTATAATTGCATTAATATAAACTGATAAAAAAGCACCGGTACCAGAGCCTCTTACGGACAGTCCGGTACCCACGGATATGAGTGAAGCTTTGTCCTAGATTTTGACCCATTTACGTCACACTAACCCTAGCTTGTGCGAATCTAATGGAGGACGGCCTGTCAGATACGTGAAATCGAAGGCCCGTCGCAACGGGGTCACAAACCAACAAACACTATTCTAAATTCTCTAGAAACGCAATCACGACCGCATGTCTCAACCGCGGCTCAGCTAACACAATACGCTTTTCAGGGTAGATAAGTACGTTTACACAACTAGATAGCAATATGTGCAGTCTTTATTATCTCAACTGTCTTTAATATTATGAGGAGTTCTGTCACAGTTCAGCCACTCTAGTTGTTGTGAGACAATGATTAACAGGTTGAGTACCTCTACAACGTCACATAAGTGTATATATGTACGTAATGATCAAATCATGAAGACTAGAAGTTATTCATCCTCAACCATGTTTTAACCGAGGTGGCAAACAGCATGTTGAGTGAACATCGCTGTTAAGTCAGATCTTAATTGACGAGGATAAAAAGACGAAAGTCACCGTGAGCTGCGCCTTGCAGGATTTCCTTGTTGTGTTTCAAAACCAAAACTTTCCAGTGATTTATATAAAATCGAGGAAAAACGTGAATGACAATATAAAACGCAAGCTGACCATGGCGATTCCAGGGACGAAGAATCTCTTAATCCTACTTTTAATCCTGTACGAAGGTATGTACCGATGGGGAGTGAAACGTCAGTTGATTGCCAATCGACAGGAGATTTGTCATACCTGTGCCTATTCTTGAAAACGGACTTCGAAAATTGCATGAAATTTTCATTTTCATGAGCGTGTAATAATTCGTCTTTGAAAGTGATATCCTACAAAAAAAAGTTGATGGAAGTGTGTGTGTGTGTGTGTGTGTGTGCGTGTGTGTGTGTGTGTGTGGCTGGGTGGCTGGTTGTGTGTGTGTGTGTGTGTGGTGGGTGGCTGTGTGCGTGTGTGTGTGTGTGTGTGTGTGTGTGTGTGTGTGGCTGGGTGTGTGTGGCTGGGTGGCTAGGTGTGTGTGTGTGTGTGAGAGAGAGAGAGAGAGAGAGAGAGAGAGAGAGAGAGAGAATATTTATATCCAAAGGTTTACAATGATATCATATTAATAAAGACGCCCGTACTGAATGTTCACCAACTCTTCAATTATTTTTCTGTACATTTCTGCTGCTTCATTTTACCTCAGACTCAAATGTCATGCATCCAGTAATGAAATACCCCCGTAAAACGTATAATATCGAAATTTGTGTGGACATTTTATCAGAAAGAAATAAGCGGGTCCATTTTAATACACAATAGCTCTGTTAATAAGTTAATCTTATCGCATTAAATAATCACGTTATAATTCCGAGTCTCTTTTCTCTACCACCGTATTATAATTAAGAGCGTTCAAGTGCTACAGGGTTCGATCAAGGAGGTATAGTATCTATGGAAAGTACCTCCTTGTTTCGATTAATTAGACCGCCATCGGACAACAATGAGGTAAGAGCTGCCAAAGGAAGCACTGATAACTACAACTTGACATTTGCTCATATCATTCTCGACTGAGGTGATATCGGCGAAGTTGCCTTTTTTGATTTTGTAATCTACAATGTGTATGTTATAACTTATTCACTATTTACATGTGTTGAAGGATCAGTGCAAAGAAATGATAACCAAACGCACTCGCACAGAGAAAGATACCGGTAGAGCAAATACATCTTAGTATAGTTTGTTTCACTTCGTATCATTCTAGTTGGAAAAAAGTTGGTCCTTATAATCACGCGGCATTTTCTCTACGTCCTGTTAAGTGTAAGACCCCAAAAGCTGCCAAATTTAATTCTGATGCGGAAGAGATAAGGTCTAAAGTAAAACAAGTTCATTTCACTCATGTTTCATAAGCTTCACCGTTGTAATACGCTTTCTTCACGCTGTAAAAAGACAAAGTCCATTGTTGAAGGATAAATTTATATTGGCTTAAAAAGTACAAACACGTTATAAATGCAAATGCTATAGGAGTTGTATGCAGTGTAACTGGTCGAGCAGTTGGAGCTCTGTCTACTGTGGAAGGTTTTTGCCTGTTCCTCTTGTTTTGAGAAGTTTCAAATATGCACCAGTTTATAGGTTTGGAGGCCAATTGCCCATTCCAGTAAGATCATGTTATTATACACTATGTACCGAGGCCCATGGAACTGGGGTTTGAGAGTTATACCTAATTACAATGTATTTAACAGATATCCCTAAGTCAGTATAAACTATGTACCTGTATAATACACTTAAATGCGCATTTAATATTTTTCAGCACGTCCCTCGCTGACAAAATACTTATTTCAGTGTGACTGTGATTCCTCATCATGTGGCTTTACACAAGATCAAGCCAACGCTATAAACTGGGTTCGAAAACGAGGCAAGGCTAGAGACTCCATGGCAACCGGTCCACGCGGAGATCACACGAGTGGTGGAGGTTAGTGAAACATTTTTATTCTTGAATGTGACACTTCTTGTTATAAATACATATATATGAATTTGCCTCTTCTAACATGAACTTAATTCTTCTTAATCTATTTTTCTTTTCGTTCAGTATTTGTCAATAGCATCCTTTAAGCTATACTGGATGTATTACTTTAAAGAGTCTCATTCAGTTTTTTTTAAATATAATCTCTCTATATCTTGTAAGTAAGTGACATGGATTTTATCAATTTGGTGATGAATTGTAATGACACATTTAGCTATGTGCGAGGCATGAAATTCAGAGAAAATATGGTTATCTTTCGGTTTAACAACGGAACCTACATGAACTAGTACATACACACCTCATCCAAGACCAGCCAAATTTTTGTCAGATAATTTTCAAACGTCTGAGTAAAATTTCAGGATCTTACCTTTACGTGAACAGTGACATAAACCACTACTCCGGTCAGCGGGCGGTGACCAGCTCCCCTCTGCTTACGGTCAAGGTGCCATCCTGTCTGACCTTCGCCTACCATATGTACGGCATCGACATGGGCACGCTGAGCGTGGGGATAACCTATGTTAATGGATCTACCACCAGGGAGTGGTCGCAAACTGGCAAAGGTATTGGTAACAGTATACAGTTAAGATCTCATGCCTGTCACACCTTCCTTCTCCACTCTTAACCCATTTCTTTGTAAGTGTCACATGCCATATTCCAATTGAGTCCAGTTACTAACTGGATTGGGCCACATCCCTATTGGGATTTGGACTAGGTCGAACCCTGACAATTACTTGGTCAATCAACATACCCAATCTGCTGTTAACAGTGCAAAGGCCCAATTGGGATCTGGCCTAGACCAGACTATTCATGATCTCATCGGTAACACACACCCAAATTGTGCTCTTTGATGAAAGATGGTAAAAAATTGAGCGATGTTAATGCCTATCTGTACATGTGAAAGTATTTTTTCTGTGCATGTTGAGTTTTCTCTGCAAGTGAATTTGTGTCTTTTTAAATATTTATGTGTACAATTAGATTATAGTTTACAGAAGTCCTACTTATCGTTTTACTTCTTGAGCGGATCCGGATGAAAGCGAATTTAGACCTTAGTCCTGGGGTCTTGGATTCCGAATACATCTTAAACAGATCTCTTATTATATTCTTTTTATATCCTGTTCTTAAAATCACTATGGGAACTGGACATAATATATGATATTGAATATTATTTTTGTTAAATGTATGTGTACTTCTCATGTGGCCCTACTTTTCAGATAGTATACAATTCTTTCTGAAAGCTTGGATAGCAATTATCGTTATCTTTTTTCCATACTATTCTTAAATATTTTACTGAATAATATAACAGTATAATACATATACAGTATAACTGACCAGTATTATTCCCTATCACTTTATCATCAAATCCCCACTCACACTCACAACCCCGCCCACCGGCCTCACTCTGACATTTCTTCCCGATGCAGTCACAACCACAAGTACGTATGAAACCGACGGTTCACCGTGTCACTTCCCCTTCACGTATCGCAGCACAGTGTATCACAGTTGCACGTTAGTAGACTCCCCAAAGCCGGATGAGCCATGGTGTGGAACGGTGAGCGATCTCTCCAAAAACTTCAAATATGGCCGATGTAGAAGTAAGTTGATCATTGTAAGTTGTCCAACCTTCGTATATCAATATATGCTGTACTTTGTTTAAGGCCTTTATACAGGCATGCATAGAGGAGCAACTCAATTATGAATGATTTTAGATGACATGTGTAAATCACTCTCGTCACTGAGTTTGAGTCAGATTCGTTATTCTCGTTTGGGCAATGTTCCCATACCTAGTTTATGCACAGAATACTAGTAAATGATGTGTGTGAGATCCAAAACGCATATAGACACCAAATCTGATGGGATAATAAAACTGTTAAAATCGGCTAATTAGATCTTACAATATTATGTTAACATGCGTTTTTTTACATTAACTATTATTATTATTATAACATTATTTAATTCCAGTTTGAACAATATGTTGTGATCATGCAGATTATACAACACGCTTTTAATTTCTTTCAATCAGCTGTACTTCACAAGGTCTTACTGAAGTAGAGCAATGATATGTGTGTACACAGCTCAGTATTAGACCAGAATCCAAGTACAGAAAGTTTCAATATACCAGTATGACAATTAAGCCCTGTACAACAAAAAAAGCTATTTATTGTATCTACATGGTTATCGGAACCTACAACAAATGTTAAAACATGGTATAAATTTTCACGAAACTCTTCAGAAAACCTATTGGGAATTTTGTTCACATATCATTTTCCCCTGTGCAGCATCCGGCTCGTCAGAGTGGCTTGTAACCAAGGTATCACTTCCGGTGGGGTCTTACCACGTGACTTTTGAGGCCATCCTCACCAATAGCACCTTCAGTGATTTTGCCCTGGATGATATAATGGTCATGGAAGAGACATGCGCAGGTAGGAACCTTCAGTTAATAAAAAACTAGCTTCCATAATGGTACACATGATATGGAGTCAAATTAATTTTTGAGCATTTGAAAAACATGTAAGGGTTTTATAAAATAAATCAAAACATAACGTATGGCTTGACACATATTGCTCAATACTTTCAATATTGCTGGAAAAGTAGCTTTGTTTAAAAAAGGAAATTATGCAACTGGTAATGGTGAAATTCCGAAAAATATCCTTCCAAATATTCGCAACTGCACCTTTAAGAAAAATAAAACAACGCGAATTTGACATTCAATAAGGTATGATCCCTTGAATTTCAAAGTAATACTTGATTTTCAGGATCCTCGACAGTCACATATACACCAGTGCTGAAATGTGACTTTGAAAATCATAATACTTGTGGTATAAAGCCAGATCCGACCAGTGATTTCTACTGGGAAACACGAAGTGGGCCATCGCCTATTGGCTTCACGGGGCCAACCGCCGACCATACTACTGGAAAAGGTATAAAGCAAAAATATTTCGTTGTAATGCCTCATTTAACAAGTTTGTACAGAGCTCCCCATTGTAGAGGGACACAAATACCTAAAATTAATCAAATCAATTTTCGTTTATATGTTCAGCGTACCGAGGTTACATGTACACATGCATGTATATATACACACACGGCATGGCAAGGTAGTCATGCCAGAAAAATAAGAAATTGTAATACGTACTGAAAACTGCTAAAGCCTCACAAAGGCACCAGTTTCTGAACATTTCAATAATCCAGGATAATGAAATAACGGAGTCTATAATTTTTCTACGAAAACACAACACAACAAAATGTTCACTGGTAATGCGGCTACTTCCAGGGATTTATACCTATGCTGCTAATCCCGGTCACTTCAAAGGCAAATCAGCGCGTCTGATCCTACCTCTTATCAACCCGTCACGTACCCCTCGGTGTCTTCATTTCTACCTCAGCATGTACGGTATCGACCTCGGCACCTTCACGGTGGGGTCTTCAGTGAAATCAAGACGAACAAATATGTGGACAGAAGTTGGTCAAAGTAAGCAGTATCTGGAGACACTCTGTGTGCATGCATACAATTCGAAATTTGTTTTTGATACGGATAATATTTATTACTGAGAAATAAAAAATCGACACATTTTAGTTTGAATTGGTGTGCATATTTCAGTTTGATGTTAGAGTCTATTGTTTTCACGTAAAGTGGATTTGAGTGAATGTGTATTCTATTTAGACCGATTTCTACATGCGCATATCATAACAATTTTAATCCATTTGTTGCAGTATCCACTGATGTCACTTACGGAGGAAATTCCAATGGATCAGGGTGTGCATTCCCTTTTGACTACGGCGGCTACATGTTTTATGCATGTACTCTCCATCAGTCAACAAACAATGAACCATGGTGTAGAACAAAAGCTCCTGGTTCTTTTTCCTACGGAAGATGTCAAGGTGTGATTGACTTAATTGTTTCACTACTATAGTGCCTCGATTTCTTCGTATATACGTAAAGTGAACAGTTAGAAGTACATGTGTAAACGCTTTACAATTAAGTCCGATATTCACAAAACAAAGTGTTTACCTACATTCTCTTTACGTAGCCTAGAGCTGCGCACATACATGTTGTAGTTTACCCTGATGAGTGAAGAAAGCAGTGATGGACTGGGATGGACAATCAAAATGTCATTCTCGATGCAATTACTTTGAATATTTATGGAAATTTTGCTATAAACCAATTCAATTCACCCCTTACACACAATAGGCTATTCCCGTTCCGAGTGCTTATACAAATACATTTTCTTTATTTCCAGCATCCGGTTCGCCTGCCTGGAAACCCATAACATTGATAATTCCGTCCAACGCCGACAACCTCGTATTCGAGGCCACCATGACTTCCGCTAGTCTTTTCAGTGACATTGCTATTGATGACATTGCTGTATATGACCAAGAATGTTCTGGTAAGAATAAAAACGTAAATCTGTTTAGCTGTATGGTTTGGAGAAAAAAAAACAAGGATAAGCAGCTTACCAGCTTCGAAACCATTGTTTCAACTTCTACAAAAGTTGTTTAAGAGTTAACACAACTAACATTTAAGTAATAGTTTGTGAATGTAACCATGTACAAAAAAGGCGATATAAATTTGCCAATCCAAATACAAACGTCTTTATTGTGAAATCAAAACATTTTCACGTGATAAGGCGTCCACTAATACAAAAATAATTGCTGTATGTTTGATAATGGAACCAACATCAAACAATAGACATACAGCGGTTTGAATTTGAATAATGTATATTAGCGTACATTTAAGATTATCTCATGTAGGGTAATAACTTACAATATTATTCTAGTGGTGTTTTCCAACATCCAAGTGACTGTTCCACCCCAAGTGTCAAATCCATCAAGCCACGTGACCCCAACAGTGCTGACGTCTACCGAATCGATTACAACAGCGACATTAGCGCCACAGACGGAGGTGTTTTCTTGCAACTTTGATGACCCAACATTTTGTGGGATAGTTCAAGATCAGACAGACGAGTTCGACTGGATAAGGGAAGAGGGTCCAGCAGACTTTCAATACATGCATTTGACAGGCCCAATGTATGACCATACCAGCGGTTCTGGTAAGTTTCTTGAAGGTGGCAGCATTATCATGTCTTACCATTTGAAGCTGCCTCTGTGTCATAAGTCATACTTACAGAAGCATGTATTAATTTTGAAATGGGCAGAGGTACGCAACTGCAAATATTTAAATAAACAGCTCCCTATGCTGTTAAATATGGTGTTTGTTCTATTCTCATTTATTTTGCAAGTCCAAGAAAGACATATACATGTAGTTTACTATGCTTGAGGAGTAATTCTGCAAACATTGTTTTGTGCACAGGTAGTTACGTCTTTGTACAGCCTGACGGCCATTCAGAAGGTGACCAATCACGCCTGGTGTTACATAATGTGCCAGGCTACGGCTCCAGGTGTCTGTCCTTCTACTACCACGCTTTTGGCATTACCATGGGGAACCTGTCCATTTACTATCAGCTAAAGGGTCAATCACGTGTTCTTTTATGGCAAAAAATCGGAGAAGGTAACCTCTTTGTGCGTCTTCTATTTTTTATTTAAATATTCTAAAACAGAATGAAAGAGGTGGTAAGTGCCATTAATTTGCACAATCTTAAACATTCATAAATGGTAATTTTATGTTTTTTGTCAATAAACATCATTGATGTTTGGGGTGATTTATTGATGCTTAATCTATAATTGTGTTTATGTTTTAGTGGCCAACAAGACGTATGACGATGCTGGCAATATGAACGGTCCTCCGTGTATCTTTCCATTCACATATAAGAATAAAATATACCACAGTTGTACATTGGAAGATTCGCTCAATGATAAACCTTGGTGTATTACCCGCTTTGACCCACAGCTTGAAAGTGGACGATGCTTTAGTAAGTAAATGCACGGGCGCACGATTTAAATGAATGTTTCTTGAAATCTTACGCCAGTTGCAGTTAATTTGTTTGTGTTTTTAAAGTACAACGCGGCGTTTGTGTTTCAGTTTTCCCTCCTTCGGCCAATCACTTCTTGTATAAAATATATGTAAAGATAAATAGCTTAATTAAATGTTGCGTTCGTCCTTTCTGTATACCACTTGTAGGCGAAAGCATGTTTCTTTGTCTGTAATAAACCCCTACAATGTGCAATGAAGAAGAAAATAAACGTTTATTTTTTAAGTATAATTGCCACTTTATATACATTTCTACTTGTTTCTATTCTAAGGCACATGGCCACATGGCAGGGCTTATGTTAAATGATTATTTCATGGGCATTATTTTTCACTAGCTAGTGGCAGTAGAGCCTGGTTACAAGGCAGTGTTGAGCTCCCACCCGGTGCTGGCGATCTTGTTATAGAGGCCACGCTGTCGGACAGTCGCTTTGGAGACCTGGCTGTGGACGACATTGTTATCACTGAGGGAAAGTGTCCACGTAATTATGATTTATAATTCTGATCAGCATCGTGGCGGGGTTTCTTTGGCTTACATTAAAACAACATTTAAATTTTGGTTGTGAAGATGTTCTTTGGTGGAAGTTTTTACTTTTGATTGGGAGGAATGTAGGCTTGAAAGCATTGTGCAGATGATAAATGTTCCACAAATGCTTCAAGAAGACCTTCAGTACATGTACAGGATGGATCCATTAAGATTCAACTTGGTACGAATCATACACGCTTATCCACAACGTACTTTTTTTTAGTCCCGGCGGTTAGTCCAACGTATTCGCCAAATGAAGTTGTGTATCACTGTGATTTTGAAAGCTCAAGTGAACCATCGAGTTGCGGACTGTCCCAGTCGGTTTCAGGCAGAAATTCCATTGGTTGGAATGTGACAAGCGGTTCTACTAATACAGATTACACTGGGCCAGAGGCAGATAACACGTGTGGGAAAAGCGGGAATGTCAAAGGTACATGTAGATGTCACTGCACAATAAATAATTATTTGTTAAACGTTTGTACAATACATATAGCCTGATACAATTTATGATATTTGAATATGTCACTATTTTGTCCGCCAACACACCCTTAAAATACATCCGTCTGTTGGCCATCAGGCATCGATATAAGTAAGAAATAATGTTCAATATGACTTGAATGGGTGTAATTTCTATTTTGGAACGTTGTTCAGCGGATTGTCATATATTCGATTGCAAACACATCTTTTCAGTGTACATGTACAGGAATGTATGATTTTTTCACTTATTCTTTACATTTAGTTGTTGTGTCGTATTTTCTTAATTTTTCTTCTTTATATTTTGTATATTTTGTTGAACATAAAATAGGCCGTTACATATATGCCAACGCTGGCGATGGAGAGAGGAACTTTCTAGGCCGCCTAGTCTCCGGTACCTTAAGTCAAACGTCATATCTGTGCCTGCGATTTTATTACTACATTTTCGGCATAGATGTCGGAACTTTACGGGTGTACAGCGTGACGGGTTCCAAGGAGACTGTTTTATGGGAAACCACTGGAAAAGGTAATGCGCACAATCATGACGTTAACGCAGTGTTTTTCTTTACCTCGTTTGTTTTAACTTTCCTAGCCAGGGCTAGCTGAACGATAGCAGTTTCTTTAATTGAGGCGCTTTACAAAAATTGCATGAACTGTGGCAGTTGATTACCCAAAGTCAATTTTAAAATTAAGCACCTAATCAAAAAGTGAAGCAGTGTTTTGTGAACGGCAATAAGTCAGCACTAAAACAGTTATCCTTATTTCATTCAATACACTTAATATTATACTCCTTTCAAAGTAAAAATACTTAACCATCTGTGTAAACATGTTATCAATATGGTTTCAGTTACAACACATTCAACATATGGAGGCAGTGCGGGAGGAGCTGGATGTGCCTTCCCCTTTTCGTACAACTATGCTGACCACTATGGATGTACATTACAAGATACCCAAAATGGACTCCCGTGGTGCCCTACGGACACAGTGAACTTCAAATACGGGTACTGCTTGCGTAAGTACCACTGACGAAAATCCTTCGCAAATCTATTATGATTCTTATGTTTCTCACATTTGGCATAAAAAGACTATATATTATTTTCAGTTCATAATATGGTGATCCAGCAGAGCGAATTTGTTTGAAAACATTCGAGCTCGCATTGCAATTAATTGGTTAGTTAATATTTAGTTAAAGTTGAAGGCAACCGGAATGTGTTTTTATCATTATTATTATTATTATTATTTGAAAAAAGGCTAAAGGTTGAAGTGAAATTAAATGTGTTGCATAAATGTGGCATCTTTCCGATAACTATCACTTGATCTCCTTTTACTACGTATACCAATTTTGTCACTGTATTTAGCATATGGAAACCAAACCTGGCAAATGGCCGAAATCGACCTGCCAGCTGGACGTCAACAGGTCTTGTTCGAAGTTGCCACAGGGAATAGTATCTTCAGTGACATTGCAATAGACGATATATCTATTGTAAAGGGCACCTGCGCTCAAACGACCCCATTGCCTGTGAATTGCCCTGGGACAAGTCCTGCTGAACTAACAACTCCAGCATTGACTTCCAAGCAAGTGTCACCTTCAGCGGCCACGAATATCCCACCATCGGGTGGTCCAATTAGGTTGCCTTTCTCTTGTAACTTTGACGACAAATCACTCTGCGGCATAAAGCAAGACAACACAGATGACTTTGACTGGGCTTGGGTGTACGGCACCACCGGCAGCTCGTATACGGGGCCCATGTACGACCACACTACTGGCTCGGGTAAGAGATGAGTATATCCATGTTGTAATATGCCCTTGAAATATGGTATTTTGCTCATATAACTCAGTGAATAAACCAGATATGATTATTTCAGTTAGAGTATATTTTGTTAATTCATTATAAACGAATCCCTTAGACCAGAAGAGTTGACACTGCGTAAATGAAAAACACTGTGATATCTGTTTCTCTGAAAATCCGAAAGGACTAATTTAAAACAGATTGTAAGTTTTTTTTTTTCAATTTACGAACGTGTTTGCATATTTACCTGAAATAACAAGTTAGATTTAAATGCATATATAAAGAATTGTGGTTGGAACAATGTCAGAGCTTTTGGCGTACTGCTTTCTTCAGGTTTCTTCAAACTTCAGTTCCTGAAGAAAGCAGCAAACCGAAGCTTGAGCATTGTACTAAACACAGTATATCAATATAGATACATTTATATCTACAAGATCTATACGGTGACTTATGATGTACTTTCACCTGGAACTCAACTGGACAGTCCATAAGTGATAGAATTTATCAAACTTCAACGACACAAGTAAAATACCAATCTTGTTTACAGGTAGCTTCGTATATGTGAAAACGGACACTGCAGTGTTTGGGGCCAAAGCAAGACTTATTGTTCCCAACATTCCTGGAACCGGAAGACGGTGTGCAACGTTCTATTACCACGCCTATGGAATAGATATGGGGAACCTGACTCTCTTCACGCAAACGTTAGGGCGTAATCCGAAGCTGCTATGGCAGAAAACCGGTGGAAGTAAGCTAGAATTTGTGAATACTATACAAACATGCAACGGTCTTTTTGTGGTTTTTTTAAAGTATTATATACTATGTATTATTTTGTCTCAAAATTGGTTGTCTTTTTTCTTTCTTTGACTAATTATGATCTGAATGTTTCATCGTTTTATTTGTGTGTTTCTCCTGTTTCACCCAGTCTCAACACACAGGACGTATGACGATAGCGGCAACCAAAATGGCCCACCCTGCGTGTTTCCATTCCAGTACGGAGGCAGGAGTGTTGATGGGTGTACGCTGGAGGATTCCCATGCTGGACCATGGTGCGCCACCAACAAACCCCCTGAATTGTTCAGCCACGGGCGGTGTTACAGTAAGTATTGACCTTATAGCGGGCCTCGTCTCACACTTTCGCGGAGCCCAGCTTGGGCAGCGAAATTGTGACTTCCACCGACAAGTTGTTTTAATGGGAAAGAGGACCCTCCTTACTTAGTACCTGGTGTCTAGATTTGTGTCTTTTCTGGCATTGAAGGCCTAAGATAATGTAAATAAAATACTGCTGCTATCATACACGAAATGTTACAAGGCAAAATGTTTTACGCGTTTTACACATTTTAATGTTATTTTATCATATGGAGAACGTTAGTTCCTTCTGCATAAAAGTTATCTGAAAGAAAAGCTGAAAATACTTTCGTAAGAACTGAAGATAACAATGATTAATGTCTTCAAATGTGTTCCAGCCTCTGGTACAAAATCATGGGTAAGAGGTTCCGCAGAAATCCTCGACAAAGGCGTGCTCGACCTCATCATAGAGGTGTCCCTGTCAGCGAGCAAGTTTGGAGAATACGGCATCGATGATTTAGTGGTCTCGGAGGGAGAATGCCCAGGTCTGATATCACCTCGAATTTATCATTTCTAAGCAGCACGTTGCAATCACATCTAATCAAATACCGCCATTTAGACTCAGGAATACTAAGGCCATGCTGCCTATTTAAAATGCATGTGAGAATTTATTGAAATGCACACGTTGGGGACTAAATCATATAATACGATGAAAATATTAAATTATGTTTTGCGTCTATTTTAATTTAATTTGATTATTTTTCATTTCAGTGTTACCAGCAGGGCCCACACCTTCCCCTCATGACCTCTTGTTTCAGTGCAATTTCGAGGACCAGGGTGACCCTATGTGTGGCTTTAAAATGGACAGGAAAGATGGCCAGAACTGGACGCTCGCCAGCGGTGGCACAAAGAACTTGTATACGGGCCCAGAGCTGGACAATACTATTGGTTTTACTAACAGCACTGCAGGTACTGGGTACTGTTATGACGGAAAAATCCATCGAACTAGCTGGATCGATCTCACTCTACTGGGATTCTCGCTAAATTGCATTCATTGCGAGCGACTTAATTGTCTGTCACGCCCACTCAATCTGATAGGGGTAATTAGCGATAAGAAATTACCCCTAGTTACTCAAGGGGCCCCGCCAGACAATTAAGCTGATTACACTAAAAACACTTTAGCGAAAAGCCCCACAGAGTTAGATCGATCCAGCGGGTATCATGGGCTTATGGGAACACAGTCTTAAAGGGCACATTTGTCTTCATACAGTTTCTAGCCTCTGTATCTCGTTTATGTTAGGCATGCGCAGTGCCAAAAAATTTCAAGTGTGATAACAATAAATGTGTTCCCAAAACACCTTGAATCTGTCCAAGTGAACTTCGCCTCTGTAAATACGCACTAATTCTTTACAGAAAAATCGGAGCGAGTCGATTTTGGCGAATTTTCACCAGGAATACTCCACTTGTATACTTTTCAGGACATTATTTGTACATCGACTCTGCGCTTGGTACTGGCAATAGAAAGGGGCGTGTGATATCAACGGAGTTCTCCCACTCTGGACCCACGTGTCTGCGATTCTACTACTACATGTTCGGTATTGATGTTGGGACACTTCGGGTATATCGTGTTACAGAAAACAGGGAATACAATGTGATAGAAATTACTGGCACAGGTAAGGAATGTAAAGAGAGCCTGTTTCTCGTTACTGTTCTTTCTTTTGTACTTCTTTAATTTTGCCCTTGGGAATTGTGTTATTACTATAAAACTGATCAAAGTACCAAATCACAGCATTTTTACAGTCACCGCAACCATGGTCACTTCTTTGGAAAGAAATGAAACAGTTTAATGGCAGTGCACATTATTTTCGTTTCTGTTGAAATAAATGTTTAAGTTCAATCTGTTGAAATAATTGAATGCTGGTGTTCATGATTCAGACACACATATGTGAAGACAGTAATTCAACAGCATTATTCAGGCTATGCAAATCATGACATATATCGTTTTTTTTAGTGAGTACAAATATAACTTATGGTGGAACAGCAAAAGGTGCGGCCTGTCTTTTCCCCTTCCAGTATAATGGTCATTGGTACTCCACTTGTACCTTGGATGACACTGTCACCGGCTTACCGTGGTGTCTAACTAGTGACAAAACTTTTCTCGCTGGATACTGCTTACGTAGGTAGCCTCGTGAACTTGTCTCTTAATTGCCAAGGCATATTGAAAGGACATCAGTGTTTATAACAACACGGCTAGCTATAATAATCATTTGCCCCACGCCTCGAAGTGAACAGATAGCATAACGGATTTTCTTTTTATATGTTAACGAATGCTGTTGTCGGATGACATATTTAACAAAATTAGATTTAAGTTAGTTCGGATATTTTTCTTGTTTAAAACCGCGGTTAAAGAGGCGCAGAATACAAAACCACGGTCTGAGAGTTGAGAAGACAAAAAAGTAGGGTTGAGATAAAGAAAGTTAACAAATCCAGATTTAAGTGAACCTCCCCTGGGGAAACGATTTCTATCAGAAATAGTTGCGACTGAACGTCTTAGACCCATTGAGTCCTATTTATAATTCATCATCTCACAGCCCATCGATCATCGTGTTGATCCCTAAAATACGAATCACAGGTAATTACAATCAAGCACCTGCTCTTTGAAATTGACAGTACATTGTTCTCTGCTCAAATCATTTGAACGTACCATACTGAGTGTTCAGAAGAGTACAAAGTTTGCAGGTTAGGTTTTGGAATATGTTGCCCTAAAGTTTCTCGTTTATCTTTTGTTTCATTTCATTACCAGCGTACGGCAAAGAGGAGTGGCAATTAGCTGAAATTAACATATCTGGCGGCCGGCACCAGATAGTATTTGAGGCAAAAGTTGGAAACAGCACCTACAGTGATATTGCTATTGATGACGTCAGCGTGGTCAAAGGTCAATGTATCACTACGAGTACGATGCCCTCAACAACAACAACCCCTACAACTACAACGACAACCACTGCCCCTACAACTCCCACAACTACAACCACAACACCAACAACAACCACTACAACTCCCACAACTACAACCACAACACCAACAACAAC